ACGTCATGTGGCTGGTTCGATCTTCTTCTCGAGTCTTTGCGTATGTTATTTTTGACTCGAGTGTATCATCATCTCTATGGTGATCAGGTGGCTTCCTTGTTAGTGTCCCACCTGCGGGTTTTGTCTCAGCAGCAGTACGAAAATTCTTGGCGGTCCTTCCGTTTCTTTCTGCGTCCTCGTCGTTGTACGTCGCTTTCTGTTAGGATGGTGTTGTCCTTTTTCTCTTGGCTGTTCTAGGACCGTCACCTTATGCCTAACACTGTCGCCTCATATCGTGCGGCACTGGCAGATCCGCTTCAGCTTGCTTTCGGTATTGATATTACTTCTGCACCGTTTCACAAACTGTCTTGGGCATTGTTTCACCTCTGGCCTGCTCATGCACCACCTGAGCTGTCCTGGTCATTGCACAGAGTGCTCTCTTATCTTTCTTCTCCTTGGTTTGTTGTGGCCCCTTCAGATCAGGAATGTTTCTCCAAGGCTCTTTTCTGTTGGCATTGGCATCTGGGGGTCGGGTTAGTGAGCTTCGTGCTCACCAACCGCAGGATGTTTCTGCTCTTTTGGTCTTCGTGATAGTTTTGTTCGTTTGCAGCCGTCTCCTTCTTTTCTGGCGAAGAATGAGACGGCTGCTCTCCAGAGGGGTCCCCTGGGTTGTGGATGCTTGGTTGGTTAAGCCGGGGAGAGTGCATCATGTTTTGTCTCCGGTTGTGACTCTTCATTGTTATTTGCGCACCACGGCTTCTGTGTCCGGGGATGGGCTTTGGGTTGATTCGGTTTTTCTTCTTCCCTTTTCGCGGGTGCGTGTCTCCCAGATCATCCGCAGAGTTATTAAGGCTAGCCAGCCTGCGGTCTATCCCCGTGCCCATGATGTTCGTAAGTTCGCTGCTCTTGCTGCCGTCTTTGGCAACATGTCGTGGGCTGACATTCGGGCATGGGGCTTTTGGCAGTCGAACAGGGTCCTGGCTGCTCGTTACCTTGTGAACGTCCCTAGGCCTAGTCGGGCCTGTGTCACTTTGGGGCGCTGGTTGCAGTCAATTGTATCGACTTTGAGTTGAGGAGTGAGCAGCGACCGCTTCCCAGGTAAGTCCCTAAGTTTTTTCCTCTGTGGGTAGTTAGCACCGGGGAGCCGAAGGGGCTCCCCCCCAGAAATCCAGCGTTGAATGTAATGAAACGGCAGTTCTGGGTGAGAACTAGATGCTCCCCGGCATCCCTCCCTCCCTCCAGTTGACGGTTTTTCGCGTGTTTTGACATCCAGCCAAAGAACTAAAGGGTGGATAGCTGGCGTGTGGGGTCCGGGGCTTCCCCTGATGAGCTCCAGGGAGCCATAGGGACTCGCCCAGAAAGTGGCGCTTCATAACATTCAACGCTGTTTTTCTGTGGGGAGCCCCTACGGCTTCCTGGAGCTTATCGAGCTAATGTATGTTATATTAGACCGGGACATTAGCTAAGGAGTTCAGACCTACCAGGGACCAGCGCCAGAACCTGGCCCCTTCAGAGAGGTTTCAGGGAGCAATGGCACTGGAAAACCCTCCTATGGTTGGAGTTTTCCTTATCTGCCATCGACCGGAGTCAGGCACCCAGAAAGGTAGGCATGACAAAACAAACCCCACATGGTAAAAAACTAAAACAAAAAAACGAACAGAGAGGTAGAAACTCCCTACAATCCCAAGGAAACAAGCAAACAAGCATACATCACACTTTACTGCCTTGCCGATCGTCCGCGCAGCCCTCCCCGCCCCGAGAGGGGAAGGGGGAAGGGGGGAGCCCCGAACCTACCGCGCCGGCTGCCAAGCTTCAGTTCGTAAGCTAATGTCATCTTGGTGGGTGCGTTGGGCGTGGTCGATCCGCCCCATCCTTCTGGGGTTCCCGTCTGCTCTTTGCAGACATGGGCCTTCGAATCTGCGGTTCTTCTGGACTTCTTCAGTCTGCTCCCTGGTTTTCTATGCCCTCCTCGGAGGACTGTTGTCTCCTGTCCGGCTTCTGTTGGGGCCGGGTGCTTAGATGGTGGCCCTGGACCTCCAGGTCAATTATTGGCACTTTTTTTTTTTTTTTTTTTTTTTTTTTTTTTTTTTTTTTTTTTTTTCATTTTTACCGGATCTTGGTGCCCTGTCTGAGTCTGCTTGAGATTTGGTGTCTGGCCTACCTCAACGACTGGCTGGTGTGGGCTCTCAGTTGGTTCTCTTGTCTGCTCCCCAGGGGTGTGGTTCTTTCCAGATCGCCGGGTTTGGTTTCCTGGTGATCTGGAGGCCATTCCATCTGTTTCCGTCCCGGGTTCGGACCTGGCCCTTGATTAGGGCTATTGGGCCATTCCTTGTCTTTCCCTCCAGAAGTGTTACTGCGGCTGTGGTCCCGCCTTTGGCTGTGCATGAGGGGGTCCCGGGTTGCTCGAGCGGTTGTGCGGGAGTCTGAACTTCGATGTGCTGGTCTGCCCGCGGGGTCGTGTTTGGCTTCGGCATCTGGTTGGTTCCTACGGAGACTCTCCTTCCGCCTCTTGCAATCGTTGGGTTCGTTTCTCTGGGGATCTTGTGTTGGTGCTGCGTCACCAGCTTCCTCTTTGGGGTTTTCAGGGTTCCGTGCCTTGGCACCTCCCCGAGCCTTCGCTCGATGTGTTCACGGACGGGTCATCTCTTGGCTGGGGCTTTGTGACCAGTGCTCACCAGGTCGGCCGAGGATGGTGGAGTCTGTCCGTCCGTCGGGTTCACAGCACGGTTCGGGAGTTCATGGCTGTCTGGTTTGCGCTTCGGAGGGTTTGGGTCACTCGGTGCTCTACCATTCAGCTCCATTCGGACTGTTCTCTGGCGGTTCTTGCCGGAACCACAGGGTTTCTCTTAGGTGTTGACCTTTGGGGTTGGTTCCTTGGAGTGGCTTGTTTGCTGGATTCTCGGGGTTTGGCTAACCGTGAGTTTCATGTCCGGGTTGTGTCCTGCGTCCTGGCGGAAAGCTGTCTCGGTTCATTCTTCTGTTCGCGGATTGGCCGGTCGTCGCCGGCTCTGCCAGACGTATGGACTCTTGGCCATGGACGTTCTTCGAGTCGGCGTGGTCTAGGCGTCGCCCATTTTATGTGGCGCCCTTACCCGCCTGCGCGGCGTTCACGTTGGATGCTTTTTGGCAGGACTGGTCGAGGTGGGGGTACCTGTTCCTCTTCTCCCGGTCCGGCTGTTGCTTTGGGTTCTGGCTCGGTTGCAGCCCATTCCCATGAGAGCAGTCCTTATTGTTTCCTTGGTGGCCAGCCCAGCTTCTTTTCAGATGCTGCTTGATAGGTGCCCGAACCTGGGACGTTTTCCCGCGGCTCCACCTCTTTCGGCAGGTCGGATCGGTCCTGTACGTGACTGGTCCGGCCTTCTCCTCGGCTCTTCGCGTCTGGTATTTTGATGCGGGTATCACCATCTCTGTGGTGTTCAGGTGGGCTTGGAAGGGAGACGAGAGAGATACAAAATAATATACACATGGAAAATACTGGAGGGTCAGGTCCCAAATCTACACAGTAAAATAACAACGTACTGGAGTGAACGATATGGAAGAAAATGCAAGATTGAACCAGTGAAGAGCAGAGGTGCCATAGGCACAGAGAGCACTGTATAAACGTCAGAGGTCCGCAGTTGTTCAACGTCCTCTCAGCGACTATAAGAAATATTGCCGGAACAACCGTGGACATCTTCAAGAGAAAACTGGACGGTTTTCTAAGAGAAATTCCGGATCAGCCGGGCTGTGGTGGGTATGTGGCCCTGCGGGCCGCTCCAAGCAACAGCCTGGTGGACCAGACTCTAACAAGTCGAGCCTGGCCTCGGGCCGGGCTTGGGGAGTAGAAGAACTCCCAGAACCCCATCAACCAGGTATCAACCAGGTTGTTGACGGTGTCCCACCTGCGAGCTTCGTCTTGGCGACAGTATGACGTTCCTGGTGTTTCTATGCACTTTTTCTTGCTCTTTGTACGTTGTCTTCTCTTTCGCATCGGGTTATCTTGTCCTATGAACAAGTGTGTTGTCTTGTCCTTGGGTTTTTCTGGACTACAGTTAATTGATGTTTTCTTACTGTTGCTTCGTTTTATGTGGCGCTGGCGAAGCCTCTCCGGCTTGCATTCGGGGTGGACGTCACATCTGCCCTGTTTCATACGCTTTCTCGTGTTTTTTTCACCTCCGGCCTGCTCATGCGTTGCCTGCGCCGTCCTGGTCCTTGATCAGGGTGCCTTCTTCTCAGTTTGTGGTAGCCCCTTCGGTTCAGGTTTCTGCTCCTGGGTACTGGCGGTAGATTTGTACGTGTGCAGCCTTTCTCCGTTCTGGCGATGGTCGAGACGGCTGGTTTCCCGAGGGGTTCTTGGGTTATTGATGCTTGATTGGTTTGGCCGGGGTTGCGTCCTGTGTTGTCCGGTTGCGCTTTTTGCAGTTACGTGCGTACCGTGTCAGAGGATGTGCTTTGGTTGATCCGGTTCCGACCCATGGGTGGCGCGTGCTGGTCCGACCCATGGGTGGCGCATGCTGGTCCGACCCACGGGTGGCGCGTGCTGGTCCGGGCCCCGGGTGGAGCGTGCTGGTCCGGGCCCCGGGTGGCGCATGCTCGTCCGAGCCACGGGGTGGTGCGTGCTGGTCCGAGTCACGGGAAGCGATGATCCTACCTCTTCCTCTACCCATAAACTACTGTTTAAACATGAATTCAGGGCACTGCAAGCACTCTGGTTCTTCATGCGTGTTTTGTGTTACATTTAATGTTTTATTTTATGCAATTGTAATGTATATTCCACGTGTTAAAAGTGTTGTTCAAGATTGGAAATGTTGAGCGTGAAACATATCTCGACTCTTAACAAGGCAGTGGACTGCTAAATGATGTTCGTATAAATAGATTTTGGTTACCAAAAAATGTTCATGGAACATGCATCATTTATTGACACGTGTATTAAATCATAATACTCTCTAAATTAATTTAATACATACAGTATTTCTTTTTGTAATTGCCAAATTTATTGTCACTAATGAATGTTGTACTTATAAGTGATGTCTGAATTTCAGCTTGAGAGCAAGCTTCCCTTGCTTGAGCACTGGCTATACCACCCATTCTGTGCTGTTCGGCACATGGCCAGCAGAGTGATGGGAGCTCTGGCTTGTGTCCTTACTGTGCCCACCATGTCCCATGTGGTGGAGAAAGTTGTACCTTGCCTCGGAGCCATTGATGATGACAGCAAGAGACAAGGAGCAGTGGAGTGCATTTTTGCTGTTATTGATTGCCTGGGGTTTAATGTTGTGCCTTACATAGTTCTTCTTATTGTGCCTTTATTAGGTTAGTCAGTTTTTACTCATTCTTTTGTATTTATTCAAAACTATATGGTTTTATTTAAATATTATGTTGAACTTTAAAGTTCAACTTTACTAGTTGAAAAGATTAAAATGGTAAATGTTGAAGCTTTTACAAAAAACTTGAAATCAAGGGTTATGTTATATAAAAGTCAAATATCATTATTTAAGAGCAAATTTAAACCTAGCATTCTGTGAAAACTTGTGTTTTCTGTGACCCCTTTTAAATTAGGTCGTATGAGTGATCAAGACTGCAGTGTTCGTCTCATGGCGACACACTGCTTTGCGACACTGATCCGACTGCTGCCGCTGGAAGGTGGTGTTCCTGACCCTCCTAGTCTGAGTGAAGAGTTGTTGCAACAGAAGATCAGAGAGAGAGAGTTTCTGGAGAAGCTTCTTGATCCCACAAAGATTGAAAATTATAAAGTTCCTGTGCCAATTTATGCCGAATTAAGAGCATATCAGCAGGTGTGTGTAGAATCTATTCAAAATAATCCTTTTTATGCTTAGATAATTAGATACACATGATACATAGCGAGTGCAAGAATAATTGTAATGGGTGATTGGAAGGTAAAGTGGGAACTGACTGTAATTATAAGTGGCAATGGTGTTGTAGGAATAAATGGCTCTATTTAAAACAGTTTATGAATTGAGTTAGGTATTGTTAAGATGTATTTTTCAACTGTAAGAGTATAGTGTACTTTAAATATTTATGGTGCTTGGGAAATTATTTAATTTTAGAGTTTGACTGCTTCTTGAGAGGAGTGTGATGTGAGAGCAGCGAGAGAAATATCATCGAGATTTATAGATTGATTCACATGTTGTTCTCTCTCTAGTGTGAGGTAAGTATAAATGGGGGGAAGGGGCCATACCTCAAGGATCCAAGAGTTGAAATAAAATAGTTGAGAAATAATGATGTGAGAGATCAGGAAGGTAAATACAAGAATTAATTATGATCTTGGAGAGAGAGAGAGAGAAATAAACCAATGTGAGAAAATGGGATATATACTGTATAAGCAATATTTAGTTAATAAAAAAAAAAAAAGTGTAGTGCAAGTTTGTAGAAGGCTAGGAACTGCTTTGTAGGATGAGGTAGTGATAATAGCAGGTGATGATAAAGAGAGGGGGGAGGGGAAGGGCAAGAAAACAAATAATAAAATGCGAGTTAAAGGTATGTGAAAAGGTTACATAAAAAATAGAGAATGGGAACAAGGCCACATGGCAATAGATTGTGAATGACAGGTTAGTATATGGTATTTCATGAGGAGCACTATACTTGAATTTTCCTTAGTCATATGAAGCAGTGAGGTGCTGGTGTGGATGATTCGCTGAACTGGAGAGTACGAATGTTAGTTCAGAGATGATAAAAAGGTCTCATGAATTGGTCAGGTAAGACTTTGTAATATCTTTAACTTTCTTTTCCTGTTCTGCTCTCCTGTCTTGAGTGGGCTGGAGAGCTTCTCTCTCTCCAAATAAAAGTGATATATGACGATGTGTCAGCGTTGCCAATTTGTGGAACCAATTACCGCGTAAGATAATATACCTGCTTGATACCTGCTTGATGGGGTTCTGGGAGTTCTTCTACTCCCCAAGCCTGGCCCGAGGCCAGGCTTGACTAGTGAGAGTTTGGTCCACCAGGCTGTTGCTTGGAGCGGCCCTCAGGCCCACATACCCATCACAGCTCGGCTGGTCCGGCACTCCTTGAAGAAGATTCATAGAATACATAGGATTCCTTGATTGCTTCAAGCGTAGGTTAGACATGAGTGTGTTTGGGTGGATATAAATAAAAGCTGCCATGTATGGGCCAGTAGGCCTTCTGTAGTTTCCTTGATTCTTATGTTTTTATCCTTTCTCTCATATTACAGAATGGCGTTAACTGGTTGGCATTTTTGAATCGGTACAAGCTCCATGGAATACTTTGTGATGACATGGGTCTTGGGAAAACTCTTCAGTCTATATGTATCCTTGCTGGAGACCATTACACTAAAGAGGAAGAGCGTCAAGTGAGTCAGTAAGGGAGCCTGAACCTTACTATTTATGTGTTTATATATCCCCCCCCTCCCTACCAGTTAGTATTGTGACCCCAAAAGTGTCAGTCCTAACACTGTTGTCTTGTGTGTATAGCTTAGCTCATTACCACTATGTAATAATAGATTTTACCTCTCTACTCTGATGAAACCAAATCCTTAAGAAAATATTTTTATTATTATTATTATTATTATTATTATTATTATTATTATTATTATTATTATTATTATTATTATTATTATTTACACACAGAAAATCACACTAGCCTGATATATATCAATGAGAAAGTCCAGTAGGGCTGTGAAGTGACACAAACCCATGACCAAGGCTGGCAATGCCTTGGTCATGGGTTCACATCTCCTCACAGCCCCAGTGGATTTTCTGGTCATGGTCGTTGCCGTGGCGGTCGTTGTCATTGTCATCGTTGTTGTTGTTACAACATAGGATAAAAAGTCTCGCTTATATATTTGTCAATTTTATGCGAAGATTTACACAAAGTGTTGTGCACTCTGGTGAGTTCTTTGTCAAGATCTGATTATGTAGTTAAGACGAGATTTACATCTCGACAACTAATGCCTTGATAGAGCACTCGGGAGAATGCAAGAGACTTTGTGTAAATCTTTACATAAGTCACAAATACGTAAGTGTGGGTTTTTATCCTATGTTGGTATGTCTGTGAGAAGATATTACCATTACTTATCATTATTATAATTATTATTTATATTATTCTTTTTGTTGCTTCATACTGGCCCTCTACTATACATGGTGTATTGTTCTTGGTGTGAGCCTGTTGGGTAACTCTGGTATACAATGTGACTTTCAAAGGAAGGCTCTCCAGGTTGCTCTCCATGCCCAGGCATTGCTCCCAGCACCAAGCTCTAGGAGACATGTGTCCCACTGAAACAAGGACTTTCCAAATGCTCTTGTGTAGTTGGGAAGGGGAGGGAAACTAATATAATCCATGACCTAGGTGTCCTATACTCATTACACAACCATTTCAGTTTCCTCTAATATGCTTGTCTGGGAATGTTTTATCAGTTGCTTTCGTGTAATAAAATTATATTTATTTTAGCGGGAGTAACTCCGACTCATTGAAGAATTGGTTGGGGGGGAATAAGTGCCCTGAAGCTATATAAAAACCCTAACCCCCCTCGATCCCCTCCAAAGTGGCAAGGGGATGCAGAGGACATAAATAGCCAAATGCCTCGTCATGTAATTAGGGACGCGCATGCGTGGATTAACGAGATTTCCACTGTATATATCTACTATCTAGCGACCCCACAGGCAGGGGAATGGGCCTATTTTATGTCTATTAGAAAACTTTCCCATTTAATGGTGTGCCTGGAGATTCCCCGAGTGTTCCATATCTGAAGGTTGAATTCTTTCATGGAAATACCTGCTACAGATATTGAGAAATAAATTTATATATAGACATATGCACTCCCCTTTGTTTATGGCTAAGTTACCACTAGAGAACTTTGTCTTGTGTTTGTATTAATAACTACAATTTTTCTCCTGTCCTGTCTGGTTGTTGGGCCTTAATTTTGATCTCTGATTTACAGAATATCTTGTACTGTACTGTTCATTAAATGACTGTCATTACAAAAATTTAATTGCAGAAGTCTGGATGTAAAGGCACCACCTTCCAGTCACTTGTGGTATGTCCACCTACCCTAACAGGCCACTGGGTGTACGAGGTTCAGAAATTTGTGCATCGCAAATATTTAAACCCTCTTCACTACACTGGTCCTCCTAATGATAGATACAGGTCAGTTGTTTTAATTCAGTTGTTCCCAAAACTCAAGCATATACTGTACATTAATACAGTAATTGATAAGCACTTTCTTTGTTTAGGAGTGTGTAATTTCCTAATTTAAATATCTAATTGTAATTTTAGGAATGGTTTTTCATTCCTCAATTTCTCTTTTGCTGAAGAAATAGGGTTTAATATTTTTTCATCTCTATAACTTTATTACCCAAGTTATCTCACTTTATATAGGGGCAAGCAGTAAAAACTCATCTGTGAACTTTCCCAAACCTAGTCATTTTTTTGTGAAGGATCGTATTCAGACATTTTCTGGGGGGAGCCCCGTCGGCTCCCCGGAGCTATCCCAGGCTGATATGCTAATGTCAGACTTTGGCATCAGTCATGTGTATGGAATTCTTAGGCCTAGCGGGGACCACGCCCAGAACCGGGCCCCCTCAGAGAGGCAAGGGGAGCAATGGCCAATAGAAGCCCCCGTGTAGTTGGAAGCATTCTATGTCTGCCATCGACCGGAACAGGCACCCAGAAAGGTAAGCGCCCCAAAACAAACCCCTATTCTGGTTAAAATTGCTACCAAAAACCGAACTAGTGGATAGAACTCCCCAACCGAAAACAAGCAAACTAGTGTGACATCACACACTGCCGCGCCGCTGTCTGCGCAGCTCCCCCCTCCCCGGGAGGGGGAAGGGGGAGCTCCAGACCCCCCGCGCCGGCTACCCACACCTCAGTTCTTGAGGCTGATGCTATAGGCGATGGTCGTGTGCTCTGGCTCCGGTGTCGCTACTGAACTGTGCTTTGCGTGTGGTGTTGGTTTTGTGGGTGCGAGAACCAGGAGTTATCTTCAGTACTCGGTTATCTTCAGTACATCAATCCTCTGATGATTCTATTCGGGTACAGGCGGCGCGTGCGTTGCAGTCTAGGTTTCGTCTGTTGCAACGCGCTCGGTTGGTTGCTTCCCCGGATGCCCCGGGGCTGCCCCGCTTTGCTTTTCGAGACCCGGACTTGGGGGTGGGGGTCGCTTCGATCCTGGTTCAGTCCGCACCTCCTCGTCCTTCCCCTTCTGTTCGTTCTGGTCCCCCGCCCCTGCTTCCAGCCCCGAAGCGTCTGAGGGTTTCGGGGTCGGAGCAGGGGTTTTTTTTTTTTTTTTTTTTTTTTTTTTTTTTTTTTTTTTTTTTTTTTTTTTTTTTTTTTTTTTTATATATATATACAAGAGTTGGTACATTCTTGTACAGCCACTAGTACGCGTAGCGTTTCGGGCAGGTCCCTGGAATACGATCCCCTGCCGCGAAGAATCGTTTTTTCATCCAAGTACACATTTTACTGTTGCGTTAAACAGAGGCTACAGTTAAGGAATTGCGCCCAGTAAATCCTCCCCGGCCAGGATACGAACCCATGACATAGCGCTCGCGGAACGCCAGGCGAGTGTCTTACCACTACACCACGGAGACTTGATCTCGAGACTCGGGCAGCTTCGGGGGTTGCCCCTTCCGGGGGGGGCGGCAGAGGCATTCGAGTCTTGTCTCCCGGCCGAAGCTTCAGGGTCTGACCAGTGGGCCCCCATTCCTCCAGCTTTTCCGGCTGCTCCGTCCTTGTCTTGTGGGGTCGGGGCTTGGGGAGAGGACTCGGCCTCGGGTCCTGTGGTGACGGACCTCGAGGCTGGGGAGGGGCTGACTTGGGGGCCTTGGGCCCCGCTGGACCCCGCCTGGGTTTTTCTTCCCACTGAGCGGGGCTTATTGTTACAAGGAGTGGGGTTTTCTTTTCCCCCCTCTGCGTACGAGTTAGATTTGGTGTCAGCCCCTCCCCGGGTTCGGTTCCGTGTTCCCCCGGGTACGTCGGTTCCGTCCTTCCGGAGGTTTTCGGCTTATCGCATCCAACCTGGTGTGGTGCGAGCGGCCTTTGCAGCTTACCTCCTGCGTGACCCAGATTATGCCTCGGAAATGGATCCGTCCACGTTCAGGTTTGGGACTTCGTTCCCTTTCTGGCTCCGTTACGAGGTTCCGGAGTCGTCCTGGCTAGCAGACTGCCCCTTGTTTGGTCTGGATTCCTGGCATTCCTTCTGTCGTTCCCGCACGCTGGAGTGGCGGGAAGCTTCCACGGTGCTTCAGGTTTTCCTGGGGGGTGAACTTGAGTACCTGAATGAGTGCTTGTTTGCCCCTGCCCTTCCCCGCGATGTGGGCGTTATTCAGCTCCATGTGCAGGTTCCCTCCCTTTCGGCGGCGCTCGTTGCGGAGGACTTGCGCGCCCGGGGCCTTTTGTGTTCGGCCTTGCGGTTCTTTTCCCTCCTGGAGCTGTCTTCGGATTGGCTCATGGAGGATGTGGGGACGCTTGGGTCCGTCCCGGAGTCCAGCACCTTGTCCTCGGCTGCGCGTTCGTCGGCTGCCTTGTTGAAGCTGTTCACGCCGATTTTGCGGGATGCGGTTTCCCTGTTCTATGCTTCCCGTCTCGCGTGTCGGCAGGCGGTGCTGGGTTCCTCCGTGAAATCTGCTTGGGCTCTGGCTCTTAGGCGTTCTTCACCTTTTTGTCCTCTCCTGTTTGGGGAGTCGGCCGTGGCGCAGTTTATTCAGGCTGCGTCGGCGGCTTGTCGTCCGATGTCGGACTTGTTGGTTTTCTGGGGGTCCCTGGGTGGGTCTTCCCGGAAAGGTCGTGCCAGGGCTCGGGGTTCCTCTCGTCGTGGTAGGCCTCTGGTGTCAGGTTTTTGGTTGGCTCCTCCTGCGGACCCTCCCTCGTCTGGTCGGCGCGGTGTTCGCGCTGTGCGGGGTTCTGGGTCTCGTAAGGGTCGCCGGCCCTTTCGCGGTTTGCCCCCTTGACGGGGCGATGGGGGGGCGGCTTGCGCTGTTCGCCCGCGCCTGGTCCCACGATTCGTGGGCCTTTCGGGTCGTGTCTCGCGGCCTGCGGTGGCGTTGGGTGGCCCCTCCCCCCTTTGGGGGGTCGGGGCTGGCAGGGCAGGTTTCTTCCCCTGCGCTCTGTCATCATCTTGGAGTGGGTACGCTTGGGCGTCATCGAAACGACGTCGTCCCTCAGATGGGTTTCCCATTTGTTTCCGGTTCCGAAACGGGACTGCGCGGACCTGCGGTTCATTCTGGACTTGTCCCGTCTGAACCCCTGGGTTCATTGCCCCTCCTTTCGGATGACTACGCTGTCTCAGGTTCGGCTCCTCTTGGAGCCGGGAGCTTGGATGGTGTCCCTGGACCTCCGGGACGCTTATTGGCATGTCCCGATTCATCCGCGGTTCAGGGACTGGCTCGGTTTTGTTGTGGGGCGTCTGAGTTACCGCTTTCGTTGTCTCCCGTTCGGGTTGAACCTGGCACCTCGCGTGTTCACGCGCCTTACACGGGTTGTGGTGGCTCGTTTGGGTCTCCTAGGTGTTCGGGTGTTGGCCTACCTCGACAACTGGCTGGTTTGGGCTCCCAGCTAGTCAGCTTGCTTGCTAGCCAGGGATTTGGTTCTTTCCCAGCTCGCCGAGTTCGGGTTCTTGGTGAACTGGAGGAAGTCCCATCTGGTTCCCTCTCAGGTTCGGACTTGGCTGGGTCTCGTGTGGGACTCTCGAACCGCCTCCTTGTCTCTCCCTCCGGAGTCTCTCCTGCGGCTGCGGTCCCGCCTTCGTCTGTTTCTGGAGGGCCCTCGGGTCACCCGGCGGTTGCTCGAGGGGCTGTGCGGGAGCCTGAACTTCGCGATGGTGGTCTACCCGCCGGGTCGGGTTTGGCTTCGACGGCTGTTCTGGTTCCTTCGGGGTTCCCCCTTCCTCCTCTCTCGCGATCGCAGAGTTCGACCCCCGGGGGCCTTGCGTCGGTTGCTGCGTCACCGGCTTCCTCTTCGGGTTTTTCGGGGTTCAGTGCCTTGGCGCCTACCCGAGCCCTCGCTCGATGTGTACACGGATGCGTCGTCTCTCGGCTGGGGTTTTGTGACCAGTGCTCACCAGGCCGGCCAGGGGCGTTGGGGTCCGTCCTTCCGTCGAGCTCACAGCACGGTGCGGGAGTTCGCGGCAGTGTGGTTTGCTCTGGGGAGGATTCGGGTGGCCCGCCGATCGACGATTCGGCTCCATTCGGACTGCTCTCTGGTGGTTCATTGCCTGAACCGCGGGGGTTCGATGAGGTCCTTGTCTCTTTGGGGTTGGTCGCTTCGGGTGACTCGTCTGCTGAGTTCTCGGGGTTTGGCTCTCCTGGCGGTTCACGTACGGGGCGTGTCCAACGTCTTGGCCGACGCCCTGTCTCGCTTCGTTCCCCTCTCCATGGAGTGGACGGTCGACGACGAATCCTTCCGTTGGCTTTGCCAGACGTTCGGGCGCCCCGAAGTGGACCTCTTCGCGTCGGCGTGGTCGCGGCGTCTTCCCGTTTATGCGGCGCCCTTCCCCAATTGCGAGGCCGTCGGGGTCGATGCCTTTCGGCTAGACTGGTCGAGATGGGGGTTCCTGTACCTCTTTCCCCGGTTCGGCTGTTGCTCCAGGTCCTGACTCGCTTAGAGACTTACCGGCGGAGAGTTGTCCTTCTGGCCCCTTGGTGACCGGCCCAGCCTTGGTTTCAGGCGCTGGTTGCTCGGTGTCCGAACCCGAGGGTTTTCCTGCGGCTCCGCCTCTTTCAGCAGATCGGGCCGGTGCGTCACGTAGCTGGTTCGATCTTCTCCTCGAGTCTTCGCGTATGGTTTTTTTTACTCGAGTCTTCGCGTATGGTTTTTTTTACTCGAGTCTATCATCATCTCTATGGTGAACAGGTGGCCTCCTTGTTGGTGTCCCACCTGAGGGCTTCTTCTCGGCGGCATTATGAAGTTTCCTGGCGGTCCTTCCGTTTCTTTTTGCGTCTTCATCGTGTTAGCTCCTTGTCTGTTCAGGTGGTCTTGTCCTTCCTCTCGTGGTTGTTTCAGGACCGTCATCTTATTCCTAACACTGTCGCTTCGTATCGTGCGGCGCTGGCGGAGCCGCTTCAGCTTGCTTTCGGTATCGATGTTACGTCTGCGCCGTTTCGCAAGCTGTCTCGTGCATTGTTTCACCTCCGGCCTGCTCATGCGTC